TTTTGTTCATAGTTCAGTGTCTTCTTCATGAGGATCTCCCCCAGAGGAGGGATACCCTGGCAGATGGCCCATCCCTTTAATAAGAGCCCCTCGCCATAAGTAATTCATTCACACTCCTGGTACCAAATTTCAGACCTCCTCTCTAGAGCCTACTTTTTCTCTAGCTCCTATCTGTAGGTCATGGGCTGTGACCCATGGGTCCACTCTGTTCAGGTGAGCTGATCTATGCTTCCTCCCAGGTGTACACCTACCGGTGGGATTGCTGGGTCATATGGTGACTCTGTGTTCAACATTTTGAGAAACTAACAACCTGTTCTCCACAGCATTCACACGAGTCTGCATTCCCACCAGCAGTGTATGAAGGCTCCACATCCTTGCCAACACTTGTTATTGCTGCCTTTTTTATTACAGCCACCTAGTGGGTAGGAAGTATATCTCATTTTGGTTTTGATTTGCATTTCTAATGATGTTGAACATGCACTTATCAGCCATTTATATATCTCCCTTGGAATATTCTCTACTTTTGTCTAACACAGAAAAATAGGCTAGTAGAGGAAATTGTTTTCCAGTATAAAGGCAGGACCTTAGCTGCCAAGGGAAATGTAGGACACATTTTGAAATGGGGCATTGCAGAGCCTTTATTAAAGAAAGAGGGCCAAGGGCTTCAGCTATGACATTAACCTGCCAAAGTCAGAATAGATAGACTTGGGTGTACACATAGCAACAATACATACAGCCTTCCATAACTAAACAACTGCTCATATTTAGGGGTCATGGGAGGGATAGGATGATTTTGTACAGGTTGAGGTAGTTTTGAAGGGTCTGCTCATTGAGAATACATTGTAGTAACAAACCAAGAGATTATTGCCTTCTCTGAGTTTCATGAGTGTGACTTACGGCACTGTGACTTAGGGCACTGAACTTCAGCTTCTTCGTTGGGAGTAAGAGAGTGGGCTATATTTACTCATCCTAAATATTTTATGTATTTCTGAGAGTAAAGGAAGCATTAAGAGAGAGTGAAAAGGTTTTTTAAAAATTTTGTATGGTTCCTGTCGAAGGGCTTTTTCTCCTGATGATGATGACAATGAGGACTTCATAGATAGAGTATTCCTGGAAAAAAGAGTAATACAAAGACTCAGAAATGTGTATAGAAACCTATTAAAAGGTGTGGAGGCAGTGTGGGGAAATGTTCCCTGGGAGAACAGAGATGGAAGCCATAATATTGAGGGTAACATTTTTTAACTTCATAGCAATGGATGTTCAATTATTAAACAACACTTATGGAGCACTTACTATGTGCAGTTGATGAAGAGGAAATGATATAAATTCAGAAAAGAAGCAAAGGGAGATATTTCAAGGATATGGAAAAGGAGAAATATGCTCTGGGGCCATTTTCCCCCCAACTCCAAGACGCAGCAGCTGGTGGTGGCCGTCATTATAAGGAAGCTTCAAGATAAATGATGACACCTGCCAAGGGACTTCACCAAGACACTCACAGGTCTTGGTAAACACAAGCTAATTAATTTTCACAATACCCTTATGAGGTGGGAAGTAGCATTTTCGTAGTTCTACAGATGGGGAAGTGTCAGCACATAAACATAAATTATTTGTTCTCTTTATATACTGAAGTTGTGACAGGGCTGGGAATAAGAAGTCCTAGAAATTCAACTTCCAGACCTTCATTTTTCAACTTATATTCCAATTCATCTCCTTTTCCTATAAAGTAATATTGGATAGCATATTTTCCCCTGTTTTATGGGTACTTAAGTACTAAGTGCAGTTATTCCCAAGAATATAAAATCACATTTGAGACAGGGCGCTAGAAGTCCTCTAAGTTAACCCCCTCGTTATTTATGTTAAATTATTCAGGACACAGGACTGACTAGTGCCAGAGTACAGATTAGTGCCCCCTAAATATCTGTACTCTTAGTGGCCAACTCTGGTTTGAGGAATCCTACACATGATTTCCCACTGTTTCCTTTTCTGTGGAATGCCACAGAGTTGTACAAACTGAACATGTCATGGTTGGAAGTCCCCATAAAAGCTGTCAACCCCAACAATGCATCTGGCTCTTAAATCTTCTCTACAATCTCTTTGGTAAGTGGCTGCCCAGACTGTAATTCAACACAACGAACATTCAGAAAGCCACCCCTGCTAGGCAGCTCATGCCACCTCTCAACTGCTGGGTGTTCTTCTCCCCCTTTGACAGCCATCAGATCGCTGACCCCTGGTCCCTGCCCACCCGCCCTAAAGACATCTCTTATTTGATTCTTCCTAGCCATCTTTATTGCTGTCAACTTACTATTCTTTCAGTAAATGTTTATGAAGTCCCATCTATAAGTGTCACCAACAATAAAATGATAAACGAGGAGAGAATCATCCAGCAGAGGAAACTATACATAAATAAGCCCTCTGAATAAAAAGTGATAAAGGCTTTGATGGAGCATCATAAAACATTAAGGGAACAAAGATTACTTGCCTACTCTTTATAAGCACTGGAGATACAAAACAATATTCCCTGAAGGAATAGAGATGTTTCCTGCCCTTCAGAAGTTTATAGTCTGAAAGAATAAGAATGTAAGTGTTGACTTGTTACTAGAATCCAAGTAACCATGTGCTATGGAGGTACGATATTCCACTGTGTTATTTATAAAATGTTGCTGCATGCAAACAGGCATAACTATTAATAAATTTCATCATTAAGAACTAACTGAACAGGGGCGCCTGGGTGGCTCAGTTGGTTAAGCGTTTGACTCTTGATTTTGACTCAGGTCATATCTCAGGGTCATGAGATCGAGCCCTGGGTGGTCTCCATGCTCAGCGAGCAGAGTCTGCTTGTCCCTCTCCCTCCCCCTCTGTCCCTCCCCATCCCCCCATCCTCATCCTGCTCAGGCCTGCGTGCTCTCTCTCTAAAATAAATAAATAAATCTTTAAAAAAAAAAAAAAGGAATTAACTGAACAGCACAGCCACTGACTTGCACAACCCCAGGGGAGCATCTTCCAACTGCTTACTGTGAGAATGGTGGCCCCTGGATACCAACTCCCTGCACCTTTTTTTTTTTTTTTTAAGATTTTAATTATTTGAGAGAGAGAGTGTAGGCAAGCAGGGGTAGGAGCGGGACGGGGGGTGGAGATGGAGGGGGAAAGAATTTCAAATGGACTCTGCACTGAGCACAGAGCCTGACATGGAACTGGATTTCATGACCCCAAGATCATGACCTGAACCAAAACCAAGAGCCAGATGCCCAACTGACTGAGCCACCCAGGTGCCCCTTAACTGCCTGCGCCTATAGATCACCTACTAAGTGCTAGGCACTGTGCAGTGAGGGTATAGTGTTGAAAAAAGGGGATCAACGCTGTTCTCTTGTAACTTAGTCTTCTGAGGAGGAGGCAGACATTTAAGAAATGCATATGCAAATGTATAACTACAAATGTGATAAATACTATAAAAGGAAAAGAACAGTTTGCTCTGGAATAAATGTGATTTTTAAAGGGACCGAAAAGAAAATTTCTCTGAGGACTTAAGACTTCCTCCAAGACCTGAGGGACACATAAGGGATAACCAGGCAGAGAGATGAAGAAAACGTAGGCAGAAGATGGGAAAGAATGTTGTGAGCCCTGGGAACTGGGAGAAGGAGCAGTGCTCCAGACTGAGTAGCCAGGATGCAGGGCTGGAGGATGGGGCCCAGGAAGAGTTTAGGGTTGAAGTTAAATGCCACAGGAAGGATAGGAGGATGTTAGGTAGTCTGCTGGGAGCTGAGGAGCAAGAAGTATTATGGAAAAATCAGTGCATAGATGATGCTCAGTAAGCAAATATCAAACTGAACTATGCATTTTCAGAACGGAGATTTTTAGTTCTGGTCTGTTTCTTTTCTAGTTTCTAAACTTAATGCATATGTTTTCAGTTAGAAAACATTCAACCCTTGCTGTTGTTTGGTCTTTGTCCTGCTCAAAACAAGTATCGCTCAGTCAAGTGATTAACAATCTCATAATGATATCAGTATATGAATCCATAAAACAGGGGCTCCTGGCTGGCTCAGTCGGTGGAGCATGAGACTCTTGATCTCGGGGTCATGAGTTTGAGCCCCATGTTGGGTGTGGAGATAACTTAGAAAATAAAATTTTAAAGAAAGTGAATCCATAAAACAAAACTTGCTTTTTCTAATTATTTCATCTGCGGGTTTCTAAATGTTCACCACCACTTGAGCCTTGAGCAGTGTTTGGATTTACTGCCATCTAGTGTCTCTGAAAACATAAGTTTATTTGTGTTTCTGAACAAGACACTTCCTAAAACTGTGCAAACGAGCAAATCTATTTCTGCTTCTGGAATGGGAGAATCTCTGTTTTGATTTTATTTATATTGCATTTGAATTAATATAAAATAAGTCTGGCCTTATTACTCTCTCTCTTTTCTCCATCCAATTATCTAGGGTTTCATTGATCCCTCTGATTTACACTCTTACTGTCTTCTTAAGACTTTCATTGTGAGAATTCCTCACTAATGCTGTCTTGAGGTGGACCAGTATGCCCACTGTACAAAAGTGTCTAGTTTTCAGGAACACTTAGGAGTTGGAATCGAGCTTTGCAAGTCAAATGCAGAGGGGTTGGGGCAGCTCAAGGACAGGCATCTTTCCCTAATTTGCAAATATAACTTAACAGCAGCCCTGGTGTCACTCCACAATGGTGCCCACACGAAATTCAGGGCTCGCTGTTCCCCTGAGGCTACTGGTGAGGATTAGTGTGAGTTTCTGTTGTAGTCTGTTTTTACAAGGCTGGGAAAGATAATCAGCCCAAAATATATTCTCAAGCTATTGCAGTTCAGTTTGGCCTGGGGTTGTTAGTCAAAGTTTTGCATAGGTAATTAAAATAACGAACGCTTTTCTGAGAATACAAGTTAGGGATGTACCCACATTTTTGTTACAGCCATCCACGCACTTGTTCAAATATACACATTTTCTTTCCCACCACATCCTTCGTTATAATTCTCTTGTTCTTCAAAGGTCCCAAGCCACTCGTTTCCGTTGGCATCAACCAGCTCCTTTTGACAAGCAGCAGACGTGGGCCATAGACAATGTCTATATCGGGGACGGCTGTATAGATATGTGCGGTGGCCACGGAAGGTGCATCCAAGGAAGCTGTGTGTAAGTACATTGTGTTTTCTTCCTTCCATTGGCAGTTCCTGACTCTCATTCCAGCCAGGAGAGTTTTCTGAAACTGGATTTGTAATCACTCCAAAGCTGCCGTTGGTTGTATGGTTTTCTTGAAATCTGATACTGAGCTAACTGTAGAGCTTATGGATATTGTATCTTCCTTCTTGCTTAGAGATTAGGAACTGAACAATAGCTGTCTTGTCAAGAGAAAAGTGAATTATCATCAACTGTATTTTTTTTCCTTCTGTGTTTCTATGGTACACGTGAGCCCAGAAAAGGACATAGAAGAGGTTTGGGAGTTCAGTATATTCTGACCGAAAATAATATGTCATAAGTATTTTTCTCACTTAGGCCTGAATATATGTAATAGATATGCATTACTTGTGGTTGAATTGGTATTCCTGTGTGGTTTGCATAAGAAAGTTTTTAAATGCCTGCTCAATTTGCTATCAATGGAGAGGGCTAGTATTTTACTTAGCGAGCGTTAGCATCTTTGGAAGGATCTAAATAAAGTGTGTGTGTGTGTGTGTGTGTGTGTGTGTGCGCGCGCGCACGCGCGTGCATGCACAGATCTTGTGTACCACGGGCCTTTGTGCTTTATTTTCAAAGATTTTGCTGTTTGGTAGGATAGTATGAATGAGGGTGCTGATAGAGAATTCATACCCCCTACTCCTCTAATCTCCGCACACCTGGGAGGTCTTTCCTTTGGTTAATGATTCTAGCCCATATCCAGAATGACCTCTGAGACCCCAGAGCCTCCAATCCGACATTCATATTTCCTCCTGTATTGAACACAGAGGTCAGTCCTTCGGTCATAGATGGCAGATGCTACCCAGAGTACCCACTGCCATTTGGAACATGGCATCTTGGATTCCTAACTGACCCAAAGCCTCTTTAAAAAGACCAATTTCCTAAGTAATTAGGACCTACCAGTTCAGTTTGGCAGCCACAATTTCTTATCAGCTTTCTAGAGCTGTGTCACGTAGAGACAGGGCTCTAGTAAATTCTTTGAAGTTGCTTCTTTCCCTGTAAGCCCAAGTCACTACTTTAGGAATGCCTAGGGGCAGCTAATTCACAGACTATTTCTAACCTAAAGCACTGTTAAGAAAAGCAGATGAATGGGGCACCTGGGTGGCTCAGTCGTTAAGCGTCTGCCTTCAGCTCAGGTCATGATCCCAGGGTCCTGTGATCAAGCCCCGCATCAGGCTCCCTGCTCCATGGGGAGTCTGCTGTTCCCTCTCTTGCTGTGTCTCTCTCTGTCAAATAAATAAATAAAATCTTTAAAAAAAAAAAAAAGAAAAGCAGATGAATTCTGGAAAGCTCTGTGAAGCCAAGTAAGCTTTCATCATCCTGGACTAGAAATAGCAGCTGTCTTCACTAATTTGAGAACACAATTGTGGAGGTTTTGTTTCATGTTGACTTTTCCTTTCTTTTCTCCGTACCCAGCTGTGACGAGCAGTGGGGTGGCCTATACTGTGAAGAGCCCGAGATCTCCCTTCCAACCCAACTCAAAGACAACTTCAATAGAGCTCCATCCAACCAGAACTGGTTGACTGTGAACGGAGGGAAACTAAGTACCGTGTGTGGCGCTGTGGCTTCGGGAATGGCTCTCCACTTCAGCGGGGTGAGTATTTGGCTACTGGTTATTCATGTCTGCATCCTCTGAGGTTCCCGCAAAAGAGTTGAGTCTCTTTTATTGGCAGATCAAGATGCAGAATTAGACACTCTAAATGCACAACCCTGATGCGAACTTGCAACTTTATACAAATCAGAAAATACTAATTATTTCCAACATTTTCCCCATCACAAATCACTCGAGACCATTTAATTATGCAAGGTAGTGTCAGCACAAGGCATATGTACGTACACATTAAAAAAGGACTTAAGTGAATTTTCATCCTGGGAGAGAGTGCTTGCACAATGTGCAAGGGTCTTCCATCTGGATGATGCTCTAATTGAAAACTCTTGAGCTTGCAACAGATTTGGGATTTAAGGAGCCAAAAATCAGGAAATTGAGCTTCAGTGTTTCCTGAATTTATTAGCAACACTTACTTCTTTCTCTAAATTATCAAAGAAAGAATAATTGTCAGTAATGACTAGACATTTTTATTTATAGCAAATTATTTTGTGAATGACAACAGCAATGTTAGAAAATTTCTTTGATGGGGCACCTGGGTGGCTCAGTCAGGTAAGTGTCTGCCTTCAGCTCAAGTCGTGATCTCAGGGTCTTGGGATTGAGCCCCGCATTAGGCTCTCTGCTCAGCGGGGAGTCTGCTTCTCCCTCTCCCTCTCCGTCTGCTTCTCTCTCTCTCTGCTTCTCTCTCTCTCTGCTTCTCTCTCTCTCTGCTTCTCTCTCTCTCTTTCTCAGAAATAAATAAAATCTTAAAAAAAAAAGAAAAAAATTTCTTTGAGAAATTTTATGGTCCTTCTAATTGCTACTAAAGATGACGTGTTTAAAAATAGAATTTCTTCAATACCGTAATTAAGTACCCTTCATAAGCAATTTAATTTTTAAAAATTACAGATTCATTGTCAGGTCTTTATTTCCCTACCATTCCCTATCTTAGAATTTGCATTTGTGCCAATAGAGTGTATTATTTATATTCAGTGTTTTAGCCGATAGTAACAATATAGGATTCGTGTAATCCTCAACGCTAATAATGCATGTTTACAATACCCTTCCTACTTAGCTAGAACTCCAAGAGGCCTAGTTTCCTGCCTATGTTCAACTAAGAATTATCTGCCTATCTACACTAATATATTAATATAGATGACACTAAAATCAGCTATAAAAGTTTAAATAAAAATAATTACAACTATTATCTCTAATTAATAATTAAATTGTATGAAATCCTTAGATGTAGTCATTTTTAAATTTCATATTAAAATAGTTATCTCAACATGCTATTTTATTAATAGCTATTACCTTTTAAAAAATCTAAAAATACCTGTGAATAACTGGAAATAGTTTAATAAAACAGAACAGTTACTTTAATTTCAGCTCTCATATTGCTCATAAGAAAACAAAAGAGAATCTCCTTAGAATACATCGTCCTTTGTAAGTTCTAACAATGAAATTTCAAAGTTTAGCAAATATTTGGTGAATACCTACTATGTGCTAGAGGCCATGCTGGGAGCTAGGATAACGGGAAAGATGATACAAACACCAGTATTACAATACCATGGGACTTGTATTACAAAAGAAATATAAAAAGATGGAAGCCAGAGAAAACCTTTAACTTGCAATTACATTTCTTTATCACTGTTTTGTTGGATTCTGCTTTTCTCCCTTAGGGTTGCAGTCGACTGCTAGTCACCGTGGATCTGAACCTCACGAATGCCGAGTTTATCCAATTTTACTTCATGTATGGATGCCTGATTACACCGAACAACCGTAACCAAGGTGTTCTCCTGGAATATTCTGTCAACGGAGGCATTATCTGGAACCTGCTAATGGAAATTTTCTATGATCAATACAGTAAACCTGGGTTTGTATTCTATTTTATCTTTAATAATGAGTACGTTGAGCAAAGATGCTTGATGAGGTCTGCCAGCTTTAGTCACGGGGACTGCAGGGGGCCTGGAACCATACCCACTGGTAGAGATTCTTCTGACACTGACATAAAGGTAAGATTTCTGAGCTGGATAAGCAAACTGGTTTGGGTTTTTATTTTAAGAACAACTACTTTTTTAATTCCAGAATAAGATAAAATATGTTACCACAATGCCAGTCATGAATAGACCCAAGTGCAGAAACCCATGTGAATTAATGAATATATGGTAATTAATTTCAACGACATTTTGGGAAAATAGAAACAGGAAGACAATATATTTATTTATTCAGTCATTCATTTATTTATATAGGGTTTATATAGTGTTCCCTCCATTTTAGAGAATTGAGGACTTGGGAAATACCTAAAGTCTATTTTTTAATTATTTATTTGAAAAACCCCTAGGGGTACCTGGGTGGCTCAGTCGTTAAGCATCTGCCTTTGGCTCAGGTCATGATCCTGGGGTCTTGGGATCGAGCCCCATGTCCAGCTCCCTGCTCAGTGGAGAGCCTGCTTCTCCCTCTCCGTCTGCCTACCACTCTACCTACTTGTGCCCTCTCTCCTCTCTGTCAAATAAATAAATTTTTAAAAATCTTTAAAAAGAAATCTCTTTAAAATATATATATTCTCTGCCACTGAACTATACACTTAAAATGGGAAGTTTTAGTACAACATATAGACTTGTCAAATCAATATCTTATACACACACCTGGAAAAAATGTAAGTGTTATATATATTTTACTACAATTTAAAAATATTTAAAGAAATTTTTTAGAAGTTAATAAATGGGGGC